CTCAGATCTAAGTGCTTCCAAAACCAAATAAGACAAGAAGGAAGAAAAGATGAAAGAAGACAAGAGACCAATAACCATGAAATTCATCAGAATCAAAATGTTAGACGAACATAAATGTAGTCATAAAACGTCAACATTAAATCTTGACTAACTCTGTCAAACTACCGTGTAAATAATGCAAGACAAAAATAAATAAATAAATAAATAAATAATCATACAATTTGAAATTAATCTACACACATAGTACCAAAAACTATGAACTGGATCCAAACATTCAATTCACAGTTGGTGGTTGATTACGAATCTGTTCAATCTGTAGCGCTTTCAGCGCCGCTGCCCCGGTAAATCTCCTCCGCCACAAGCTCGCCTCGCCGCCGCCGCAGCCCCCCTCCGGCGCCGCTCTCCTCACCACCGGCAGCGGCGGATCCAGCTCGCAGACATCCACAGTCTCACCACAATCACCATCGTTCTTCACCTTCAACCTTCTCAAACCTTTCGGACATCGGCTGCCCCGGCAGCCCCCAAATCTGGCGCCTCCGGCGGCGGGAATGGAGGAAGTGGGCGGGGGCAGGAGGGTTTTGCCGGAGAAGAGTTTTCTGAGCCTGGAGTATCTGTGGTGTTGGTGGTGGTGGGCGGCGCCGGCGACTGGTGCGGCGGCCGGGAAGCCGATGACGCGGTTGTTCCGGTGGACCTGTCCCATGCAGCTGACCTTGGGGGAGGAAGGCTCTCCGTCGCCGGAGATTGGGTTTTTGCGGCAGTGTGGGTTGATTATGTCTGTGAGGGAAAGTCGGCAGAACATTGGCAAGAAAATGGACTTTTGGTCGGGACGGCTGCGGCGGTGAAGGCTGTGCTGATCATATCCGTTGCCCATATTTATAATTTTTTTATTTTTTTTATTTTTATTTTTTTGGGTGGGTTTTTTGCTACTTTCCTGTTTGACGTGTGAGTTATGCTAGTGGAAATTTGTGTGTTGTTTTATTATGTGAAGTGCGTGTGTGTGCGAGAGAGGGAGAGAGAGAGGGAGAGAGAGAGAGAGAGTCAATGATGGAATATAATGAATTGTTATACAAATATATAGATATATCAGTTTTGCTATGCAGCCATCGGATGACTCGACTTATGGAATCATTCGCAGTTATTCACGAATAGTGTATTGACACGTATTCTATAATAAATATACTTTAAACAGGTGTCAATACATATTAAGTGATGAATAGCCCGTAAATAAATTATTCGATGACTCCATAAAATTTTTGATAGAGATAGGTACACAATACACTAATGTTGGTCTTGAGTAGCAAAAATAAATAGCATAAAAAATAAATATTTTTTTACAAAAGGTTTTGCAATTATATATATAGAGAAGTT